TTCATGCCCACTCCCGGTTGACAGCCTGGTACCGCAGACGCCGTGCCTCAATGTGGCCTGGTGCCTCCTGCAGCCCCCGCGCATATACTGTACCTGCAGCCCAGGATCCATGGCCTGCCTGCTGGTCTACTGCCGCATCATCTGCCTCATATTCCCGCTTGAACCCTCCACAGGACAGGTGCATACGCGAGATGGCAATGGCGGCATGCCGCCAAGGGATTACATTGAGCTTGGTCTGGAGGTGTGTCTTTGCCTCGCGCTGAAGCACCACCCGCAGCCGGCTGCTGTCCCACGGTCCATGCCCCCGCGGCCAGAGAAATGGTGACCGCAGCCCCCCTTGGCTATCACTGTCTCCATATGCAAGCCGCTGGACCGCCCGCGCGAACCACCAGCTCACTGACCTCTGCTGGCAGATAGCGGTGGATGATCTTTGTGGAGTTGGTCATGCTGTATCCTTTGTGATAGGTTGTCACCATGCTCACCAGCCCATGTTCAATAAAAATGCTGCGGTGGCGGCCGCAGACTGTGTTACTGTGCCGTATGCTGAGCAGCTCTGTGGCCCGCGCAGGCTGGCCCCCAGTGAGATGAACCACAAGAAGCAGCTGCTCAAGAAATCCATCCACCTGCTGCAGATAGTCATCTACCACTGCTGTGTCCCAGACCACCTGATGATCAGATGGCCGTACAGCTACCCACTCTGCCCGGAGCCTGTCTGTTGTGAGGACTCGGTCCAGCAGCCATCGCTCCCCTGTGGTTGGAAGGGCCTTGCAGTTCTGCGGTGCTTGAAGGAAGTTCCAGCCGCGCTGATTGTTTGTAGGGCTGTCCGCCAGCTGGGCCAGTGCCAGGCGTGGCACTACCACCTCCCGTGCTTCCTCTTCATGAACAAGAAAGAGCTGCTCAAGCTTGTGCTGTGTCAGCTCCACCTGCGTGCGCACGAAGCGCCGGAGCCCTGCTATGCTTAGATGCAGCTCTCTATAGCTTAGAGTCTGCTGGTCATCGCTCCAGCAGACATACCCTAGACTTGTGGTGGTGTTCTGCACTCGCTTGCCGAATGTCCGCAGCCGGGTCACCCAGCCAAAGGGGGCAGCCACTCCTGGGAGGAGGAAGCGTTCACGCATGGCATCCAGCGCATCTGCAGGGTGCTCCACCTGCTCATCCTCGGCCATCTGAACTGCCTGCTGTACCACCAGCATCTGTGCCATGAGATATGAGAAGGGAAGAGGAAGAGGGAGCTCGACTGTGACCGGGCCCCACTGCGGGCACGCGGAGGCGGGAGCGGGAGCACGCACGGGCGGCCAATCAGGGACGGAGAAAATCGGACCGGGGCGCGTCGGACCACGCACTATGTAGAACTTGGATAGTTTAACCCTAACCCTATAACCTTCAACGGGCATGTCCAGCGGGTTTGACTTTTAAATGGTTTCATCCCACTGGTTTGGGTCCAACGGGTTGACGGGTTCGTTCAACGGGTTCGACCCCTGAACACCCCTCACTCTAACCCTGACTCTGACCACCTCATCCTCCCCCCCAGCCTCTACCCTCACTCTTTGTAACCCTAACCCTGGCCCATTATTGTATGGGATAATGCTCTTTAAAACTCCAATATTTTTGAACCCCCCCCTCTACCTTCTGATATAATCGTCCAGCGTGCTCGACTTCCAACAGGTTGATGGGTTCATCCAACGGGTTCGGGTCCAATGGGTGAATGGGCTCCTTGGACGGGTTTGACGTCCAACGGCTTTGGGTCCAGCGTGTTCGACTAATGTTTGTTTTTCTGTGCTTAAAATCACTCCAGAATGAAGCCTTTCATTTTTTTTATATATTTTGCTATTTTAATTTACTTTGTTGATCTTGCACCGCTTTGCGCCGCTCCGTTGCCTGGGGTGAAAATATAGATATTTAGTTGGGTCTGGTTGGGTTGATGGCTTACCCCATCAAACATCGCACCTCAACTCATTGACTTTGACACCACAATGTAACCCCTTCCCGGCGGAATTATCGCTTTTGATTTGGATATGTTGTATTTCATATCCACTACGGCCTACATGCAAAGTTTGAAGTCAATTGACTCCGTGGTTGATTAGACGTTCAACGTCTGAAACCAAATGGAATGTACGTCCAATCTGCCCTGCTCTGATTGGTCGGTTTTCTAACCCTGAATGGAATGGACGTCCATTCCACCCCCACCTGTTGGATAGTGTTAACTGTGTAGTATGTGGGCAGTGTTAACTGTGTAGTATCTCGAGCCACATTGTCCCACTGTTCAATGTTCTCCTTTATCTGCTGAACCACCGCATGCTTTAGCTGATGGGCCTTGCCTTTCAGATGCCGTTCAATCTCGGTTGGCCACACAGCGTGCTTGCACCGGCGGCATATGATAATGAGGTATGATTCACAGTGGACAAATAATTGATGTTCCATGTCGATGCTTGGTCTGTCTTGTGCATTGAATATATATATATTTCCTTCATTCAGTGTCTTTGTGTGAAACTTGACAGATCTGATCTGGTGTGAATGTTTGTTTTTCTGTGTTTAAAATCACTCCAGCATGAAGCCTTTCAGTTTTCTTATATGTTTTGCTATTTTTATTTACTTTGTTGATCTTGCACCGCTTTGCACCGCTCTGTTGCCTGGGTGAAAATATATATATATAGTTGGGTCTGGTTGGGTTGGTGGCTTACCCCATCAAACATCGCACCTCAACTCATTGACTTTGACACCACAATTTAACCCCTTCCCGGCGGAATTATCGCTTTTGATTTGGATATGTTGTATTCCATATCCACTACGGCCTACATGCAAAGTTTGAAGTAATGGGGTGGCTGGCTGCCGCAGAAGGGAAGGGAAGAGGGAGCTCGACCGCGACCGGGCCACTGCGGGCACGCGGAGGCGGGAGCGGGAGCACGCACGGGCGGCCAATCAGGGACGGAGAAGATCGGACGGGGGCGCGTCGGACCACACACTAGAGTATAGTTGAAGCCTCATTCTTGGTGATGCTTTCATTTATGTTGTTGTCTGTGCTCTTGCTCACACTTCTGGCCATTCTGAGACTGCATGTGCTGTTGAATCTGATGTGGGTTTCACCCTGCTGGCTCTCCATCTCTGACTCCTGGCTAAGCCACCATGTAGAAATGCAACACCATGCTGGATCACGGAAGCGAGAGCGACCCTTGAGCTCCTTGATTGAAGATGACTCTTCAAAGATCAAAAGATCATGGAGGCATCATGGCCGGGCTCCTCCAGAGTCAGTCAGAGTCAATAGGGATACTCCCCAGTGGACTAGACAGGGCCATAGGCAGGGCCATAGGCAGGGCCATAGGCAGGGCCATAGACAGCAGACGGCATTCTCCAATCCCACTGGATCTTTAAATGATGAGGATGGTTCTTCTTCATTATTATTCCAGCCCTACTCCGAGTCATTCTATAGTGAAGATGACCACGCCCCAGAACAGCCATTACCCCTCAAGGATAAAGATCACCATATCTCTATGCAGTCAGCATCATCATCATCATCATCAGAACCCTCACATTCATTGGATTTGCCGTCTCATCAGCAGAGTGTTGACCCGCTCTTATCCTCAGAGCAGCTGCACTCATCACCAGCACCTCCACCATCTCTTCCCCCCAGGGCAACCCAGCTGCGGAGGCCAGCCACCACTCGCCGTGATGGTAGCCCACTGCCGCCCCGACGCATGTGGTCTGAGGAGGAGGAGAGACGTCTTCTCCAGCTATTTGTCGAGTATGGGCCAAAATGGAGGATCCTGCAGCTGATGGATAAGGAACATTCAGATGGTGCAGTTCTACAGGACCGTAGTAATGTTGATCTGAAGGACAAGATCCGAAACATGAAGGTGCGCTATGAAAAGTATGTATGATAAACTGCTTCTCTTCTCTACTTTCCTTCTCACTTAATATGATGCTAATGGTATACTTTCAGAGCAAATAAGATCCTGCCACCAAATTTCGAAAAGATCCATCTAGGTCCCAAGGAGAAGAGGGTAGTGGAGACATACACAGCCATTATAAAGCAACTAAAACGCTGAACCTGTTGCACTTTCGGTTGGAGAATTAATTCTCTTGGCCTCCATGGTGATGATACTGTTCTGTACTTCATTTTATTTAATACTCTGTGATAGAAAATCTGACCCGATTATTACTATTTCATTCTATAGTATTATACCTTGTGCGATTCGATCTATCAACAACTTGATGATAAGCTCTCCTCACCCTCTACCTAGTTGTTCTTAATCTTTGAGGTATCTAGATTAGCACTATGCAGTGTAGAATATAACAGTGTGAGGCCCAAATCCTCATATAGCTACACGTGTTGGAGCCTATATAGTAAGGCATGCAGAGAGGTTCAAGATTAAGGGGGTCTCTGGAACCGATTGTAGGTGGATACTACGGCTACCCTAGATCACGTGCTCCCCAATCTTATTTAGTTGTTGCTCGGCTAGTTAGTTTTAATACAAAACAACGTTCATTCTATGACCCACTGGTATGAAGATACAGGGCTAACTCAGCACCCAGAACCACGCAGTGTATATAACCTCACTGGACCCCATATCTTCACAGGGCCAGTGAATAGTCTTATATCAATCACTCCTATGTTCAACAGCTTCATATATATATATCGTTATGCCCTCACATCGTTCCATCACCTCTGTCATGCCACGGCCCATGCGCCGGCATGCCCCGGGGATTTAACTATATACATAGGTGTGGGCGCCTATGATGCCGGTCGGTATCATAGTGTTTGGTTTTTTGGCCGAGGTGGTTAGGGGGATATATAGAGGATATATACTAAGGCCGCCAGATATATCCAACGTATCCAAAGGGGGCAAGGTTTCCAACACGGCATAATCCACGATCGGGATAAATATATATATTTAGAGCACCGTTGGGGATCTCCTGCGATAGAGGTAGATAGAACTTAGAATTAATCTTGCTTATAACTGCTTCCAAAGCTACTTGACCAATAGCCATCTTATTAATTAAGCTTAAGGTACTGTAGCCTTTGGAGAAGTTAAAAGAGATAAGGAGATAAAAGATGTTAGAAACCTAGCTACCCTAATAATAACCCTAGAAATAACCCTAATAACCCTAGCAACAACCCTAGCAATAACCCTAGAGAATTGCATCCTTGATTGACAACGTAATTTCTATTCCACTGACCTGCAACTTAGATAGCATTGAATATGTTTGGTAGAGAGCCAGCATGCATGATTTCATCCACATCTAACCACTCCTTGCGCTGACCGGGACTTTGGGACGATAATACTGTAACAGGTTAGCGCTGCTGTAGAAAATATACGCTAACCTAATACGGTATTATCGTCCCATAGAACCCTCCATTGTTTAAACCACAATATCTCCACCACTACATGGACTATGGGAATATGGAATATATCAGTTTAATGCCCAGAGGCTGCTCTATCACCTCATACTAAAATATGTAGATGTTTCTATATCTGTGGTGTTGGTCTTAGCCTGTCAATGTGGTACTAGAAACCCTAACCCTGAAAACCTGGGGTTTCCGCCTCCGTTTCCGTGACGTATTTCCCGGACGCAAACCCCTATATCCAACACGATATTCAACCGGCGTGCCCCAACCGGTATATACGATCCTCTCCATCATATTCTGTTTAACCCCAACCCTAAAACCCTGGGGATTCCGTTTCCGTTTCCGCTTCCGTTTCCGTGACGTATTTCCCGGACGCAAACCCCTATATCCAACACGATATTCAACCGGCGTGCCCCAACCGGTATATACGATCCTCTCCATCATATTCTGTTTAACCCTAACCCTATTACCTTCAACCGGCATGTCCAGCGCGTTTGACTTTTAAATGCTTTCATCCCACTGGTTTGGGTCCAACGGGTTAACGCGTTTGTTCAACCGGTTCGACTTCCAATCGTTTCAACGTCGGCTTTGACTTCCAACTGCTTTGATGTTCAACGCCTTCAAACATCCAACGGGTTAATGCGTTCATCCAACCCCCCAGCCTCTACTCTCACTCTTTGTAACCCTAACCCTCACCTATTATTGTATGGGATAATGCTCTTTAAAACTCCAATATTTTTGAACCTGATCTAGCTATATTATATCTCTTTTACCTCTTTCTTTTTGCTCCTTTTCCTCTTGCTTCATCGATCTTTATATATGCATATATCTTTTATCTCTATGTGGTGCTCGTCAACATCTGCCTCTCACCTGTGATGTCATTTGACCTCTATGCCCCTGACTCGATCTTCCCCCCCTCTACCTTCTGATATAATCGTCCAGCGTGTTCAACTCCCAACGGGTTAATGCGCTCCTGGGACGGGTTTGACGTCCAACGGGTTTGACGTTCAACGGGTTTGTGTCCAGCGTGTTCGACTTCCTCATCCAACGGGTTTGACGTCCAACGGGTTTGACGTCCAACGGGTTGGGTCCAGCGTGTTCGACTTCCTCATCCAACCGGTTCGACGTCCAACGGGTTGATGGGTTCATCCAACGGGTTCGGGTCCAATGGGTTAATGCGCTCCTTGGACGGGTTCGACATCCAACGGGTTTGGGTCCAGCGTGTTCGACTTCCTCATCCAACGGGTTTGACGTCCAACGGGTTGATGGGTTCATCCAACCGGTTCGACGTCCAACGGGTTGATGGGTTCATCCAACGGGTTCGACGTCCAACGGGTTAATGCGCTCCTGGGACGGGTTTGACGTCCAACGGGTTTGGGTCCAGCGTGTTCAACTCCCAACGGGTTAATGCGCTCCTGGGGACGGGTTTGACATCATACGGGGTTTGTGTCCACGTGTGCAACTTCTTCATCCCAAGTGGATCAACGTCCAATGGTTTGGTTGATGGGGATCATCCTAACGTGTTTGGGTTCATTGGGTTTATGTGTTCTCTGGATACAGATTCCTCGTCCATACCGGTAGAGGGCTTCCTGTGACTGTTTTGATCCTTCTTTTGTTTTTTGTCTTTCTTTTTTGTTCTATTTCTCTATTGTGGTTCTCTCCCCCCCCCCGCGTCAGGTTTTTTACACTCCTTCTCCTGTTTTTTTTTT